CTCCCTCCCTCTTCATTTTCCATGCTTCAAACAATACTTGAGTGTAAGCATGTGTGGTTACAGTGGTGGGATTCCAAATTGCATGCTAGCAGTTCTGTGCACTTCCCACACATGCACAGCACTCACAGATCGCTTCACGTGCCCATGCTGCACTCTAAGGTCATTTCCTGCATGCACGCAGAACTCACAGATTGCTTTGTGCGCATGCGCAGAACTCAAAGATCACTTCCCATGCACTATTTTTTAGCTCAGCTGAGTTACGGCAATCCGCTCTGCCGTGTGAATCAGCTGAGCTAAAACTCAATGGAATATAGGACAAGAAAGGGCAGGTGGGCAGGGCCAATCAGAGTTGGTATTTGCCAGTTCTCTGAACTGGTAAAAATTTCTCCTACAGGTTCACCTGAACCGGTTCAAACTGGCTGAATACCACCTCTGTGTGGTTTCCCAAGAGAACTACTTAAAAAAATCAAGATCGTATTTTATGCATATCTATTTAGGAATATGTTCTGTTGATCTGGGTAGGAATTATTATTTTTTAAATGTAAAATGGTATTGCTCAACTGCAGTGCAGGTGTGTTTCGAATCTCTTGGGAGTGAGACTTCCTCTGGAGTAACCATAAATGAAAATCAGATTGGCAGAGGCTGGCAAGAGATAAAAGGGTCCTCAGTTGGCTTCAACCAAGCAATCGCAATGGAGAAAAAGTGTCATCAACCTATCTCCTAAATATATATCCATCATTATTTTTGTTTTGTTTTTCCATTAATAAGTAGTTAAATAACATAAACATTTTTCCAGATTTGGGTCATTGTCAACGAAATTATATTATTGCAAACAGAACAGAAAAAAGACAAAACACAAAAAGCAAAACCAATTTCAAAGCTGCTATTGTTTCTGCTTCCAATGGCACAAGTTTTGAAAAATTAAAGTGAGGGTTGAGTGATTTCACATTAGAAGCATTTCCTCACATAAAACATTTCCTCACATAGAACTAACTGTTTTTAAAGGATATTGTGAAAATGCCAATATAGAACTGAAATATTCTGCTAATAGAATAGAATAGAATAGAATAGAATAGAATAGAATAGAATAGAATAGAATAGAATAGCACAGCACAGAATAGAACAGAACAGAACAGAACAGAACAGAACAGAATTCTTTATTGGCCACGTGTGATTGGACACACAAGGAATTTGTCTTCAGTGCATAAGCTCTCATTGTACATAAAAGCTATAAGTGATAAATTATGATCATAGTCATCATAAAAATACATTCATCAAAAATCATAAGATACAACACTTAGTGATAGTCATAGGATACTAAATAATCAATATAAATCGTACTAGGAAACTAAAACAATATAAATCGTAAAGATACAAGCAACAAAATTAGAAGAAGAGGATACAGCCTTAATACAGCCTTACTAAGTAGCTTAACAGTGTTGTGGGAATTAGATTTTTTAGCAGAGTGATGGCATGGGGGAAAACCTGTCCTTGTGTCTAGTTGTTCTGGTGTGCAGTGCCCTATAGTGTCATTTTGAAGGTAGAAGTTGATATGCTGCTTATACCTTTATGAGAAAATCTCTTTTTTTCTATGCAACTAAGCATGGAAACAGGCTAAATATAGAAGTGATCTCTGTTTATAAGTAACATCAATTGTTCCAAATATTAAACTTTTATCTAAGGAAAAGTAATCATGTCCCATATAAATATGCAAATATGCCTATCCCATATATTTAGGAATAAGTAAATGGATATTAACTTGTTTACTTAACACATACATCTCTTAATTATAAATTTCATTTTATTTTTTAATTAGAAATGATAATTTTGCATTTATAACATTTTATTTTTGTTCTAATGCTAATTTTCTATTATTTAGTGCTTTGCCTCTCTGTCAGAGGTTCTGGAATTTTGTTTTGAGCTCTGTGAACTGAATTTTTAAAAAAATAGGGCAGTTTTTTTAAACTGTTCGATGTAATCCAGGTCTAAAAAAAACAAATAAATATAAAAATTAATATTGATTGCTTTGGGGACTAAAAGAACTAGCATAAAGGACTGGGATTTAGGCTGAATTGGTTGACTGTGAGAAGGTTATTCTTTTTTTTATTCTTTTTGTTTATTTTATTTTGTCAAGCGATTATAAGACAACAGGTATAAGTATAAACATAGTTATGAATACATGAAATTGATACATATAAGAAAAATAAAGAGAAACAATAGGACAGGGACGGTAGGCACGTTGGTGCGCTTATGCACACCCCCTACAGACCTCTTAGGAAAGGGGTGAGATCAATAGTAGAAATCTAAGGTTAAAGTTTTGGGGGTTTGGGGAAGAAACCACAGAGTCAGGTAGAGTATTCCAGACATTGACCACTCTGTTGCTGAAGTCGTATTTCCTGCAATCAAGTTTGGTGTGGTTTACCTTGAGTTTGTATCTATTGTGTGCTCTTGTATTGTTATGGTTGAAGCTGAAGTATTCATTGACAGGTAGGACATTGCAATATATAATTGTATGTACTATACTTAGATCAGACCGAAGGCGATGTAGTTCTAGGTGTTTTAGGTCTAGAATTTCAAGTGTGGTGGCATAAGGTATTCTGCAACGAGTAGAGGAGTGGAGAACTCTTCTTGTGAAATATTTCTGGACTTTCTCAACTGTATTAATATCAGATACGTAATGTGGGTTCCAGACTGATGAGCTGTATTCGAGTATTGGCCTAGCAAATGTTTTCTATGCTCTAGTTAGTAGTATGATATTACCAGATAAAAAGCTACGCAGGATTAGGTTAACAACTCTTAATGCCTTTTTGGCTATGTAGTTACAGTGGGCTCTAGCACTTAGATCATTCAAGATGAGTATTCCAAGGTCCTTGACAGAGTTCTTCTCCTTTCAACTCATTTAGGATTTCTCTTCAGAAGTGATTCAAGTGACTTGAGAGAACAAATTTGAACCATGATTTTTCCCCACCCTCAAGTGGGAGGAGATGATTTTACTTCTTATTAACCCTTCAGAAGGGCTGCATTTCTTCTTCCAGCCAATTGAGTAGAAGATTCTTGATTATATTATCCCACCTTAGGGCAAGGTGGGATAATATTCTTCATGTGGTTTACTATTTCTTTAAAGCACGTTCTCGTGGATCGACTGACAGTCCTCAGTGCAGACACTTACTTAACTAAGAATGCAACTCAAGATTTAAAGCATGATTTGGTGGGGTGTGGAAAGCAGAGAAACAGATTCCTCTTGCTTTTCGGGCCTAAAAAAGCATAATAATGTGGCCTCCGGGGCCTTTTCAATTTTCTTTTATGGGTGGTTGGCAGCTTTCTTGAAAAGACATGCCAGAAGCAACAAGTCAGGCTGCACTAATTAAAGAAGTAGGTAAATCTTTGCCTTTGGGGACTGACCTTCTCTCTCCTTATGGACTGTAGGCTTGGGTAGCCAAGTCTTTGGGCCCAAAAAAAGATTCCCAAACAGATGATCTGAGAATTAATTATGTCTTGGGCCAATTGAATGAACCCAAAGAAAGAAATGCAACTGGAGGAAACTTGAAAGGAAATCCAATCCAATCCTTTACTGTGGTGCTAGATGGCAAGTAAAAAATGGGGACATGTAGCTAACTTCTCTGCCAAAAAGCCAGGATGAAAGCAATCACTCATTCACTGCTTAGATATGACTTTATTTATAGAGATCTTTGTCCATCTGCTGCCACCACAAGGCAGAGGTGTTCCGTTTTGGCAACTTTTAAGATGTGTGGACTTCAACTCCCAGCATTCCCCTTAAGGTTGTCAAGATTGTGAAACACTGCAGGAATATAAGAAAAGACTTTCAAGTGAGATTTACTTCAGGCAAGGATGCCGTAAGTGGCTGTAGACCACTACTGGGCCTTGAGCCTTTCAGAACCAGGCCACAGAAGTGGCAGGTAAGCATGTGTGCATCCCCAACTTGCACAAGTAGTGGGCAAGCGTGCTCCATTTGCATGAGCAGCGAGCGGGTGCACATGCCTGCCACTCGCACAAATGGAGCTGAACATGTGCACATGCTCACCTGCCACTCAAATGGAACCATCCCCTCTCCCCCAATCCTGGGCTGAAAGGTTTGGGAATTCTGCTGTAGACTCCCTGAACTTGAGAGCATTTATGGCATAGTCTTTTGAAGGGCATTCTTATATTTGGGGCTGTATTTTTCATTTTGATAAATGAGCAGTGTGGTGGCCTAGTGGTGAAGATGCTCATCTCTTACAAGGTTGAGAGTTCAATCTTAGGCATCGACAGAAGTTTATCAGGGCACAAAAGAGATGTTTATCTGATGCAAACTTCACATAGGCATCAGGAAGAGCACCTGGCCAGTAAATGCTTGTTCCATTTAGTCACCCAACTTTACTCTGAACTAAGAAATTACAGGGTCATAAAAAGGGAGTTATTGTTCATTTTGATAAATTGAGATCCTGGTTTTTTTGCCAAGAGCCATGGTGGTGCAGTGATTAGAATGCAGCATTGCTCTGCCCACAGTCAGGAGTTCAGTCCTGACCAGCTCAAGGTTGATCCAGTTTTCTGAGGTCAGTAAAATGAGGACCCAGATTATTGGGGGCAATAAGCCACTCAGAGAGTGCTGTGAAGCACTATGGAACAGTACATAAGTTTTGAATACTATTGCTGTTGCTATTTGTCCTGTGATAAGAACATCCCAGTATTAACATGTGGTGTCTTGCCCCTGGTGGAGACTGACTCTGAGGGAGAGGAGGAACAGCCAACAGGGAGTGGAAGTGTGGCTCCAGAGGTGGTGGTGGAGGCTGGGGAAGGGCAGAGGCCAGCTGAGCAGTCAGAGGAGGACCCAGGCCCATCCCCTATCCATCCTAGGGCACGCAGGGAGGAGAGGATCAGGGGAAAACATGGTGTACTCGGGAGGAGAGGGCCACAATCCTCTTCATGGGTTGCAGGTATGAGATCTGCATAAGAGTTTGGACCTGCGTGCTAACAAACGCTAGAGACAAATTAGTGTTTTATTCCTAGATGAGGTTTATCTTGGTTGGCATTCTTCCAACGGACTGTACCTGGTTATCTTCCTGAAGTTTGTAATTATTTATCCTGATCTGTCGTGGAACTTTATTCAGTGCCGTTTGTTTTTGTTTTTTGCTTCATTATCGGCTCTTTGAATTTGAACGGTGTTTCTTTCGTTTGGAATGTTATTTTGAAAATAGTTTAATCTTCCACTGTGAATAATTAAACAGTGAAGCCAGGTTGACCTTTATTTACGTTTTGGTTTTTGTTATATTTTTGATACACTCCGGTTCATCACATGTGGTAAGAGCATCCCAGTATTAACATATTCTTCATGGAATAAATAATGGTGCCTTATTTCCTGGTGTCCACAAGACACAAATCTTTCCCTCTGTATGCATGAACATCACTAAATATTAACCCCTTTCCCAAAGTTCTAAGAACGCTGTCAAAGGAAGTCATCTTCTCTTGAGTAATTGCCATGCGGGGATTATTTGGGTAGGCATTACAGCTGGGAATGCAACGTCCTTTCCTCATATATTGCAATTCCAGAAAATCTCATGTGACAAGAAATTGAGGGGTGGGAGGGGCAGGGAAAGGCGGTCTTGTAAATAGAAGACAATGTTCATTTTTGGAAAAAATATAGTTGGTGGGGGATTCTCAGGAGATCACAGCTGCAGAGGGAGGAACTGACTTTGAAGTCCACCTCCACCCCACATATGGCAACTCCCCTTAGAAAGCTTCTGTGCAAAATCAAGATTTATTTCCATTTAATTAAAATTAGAATTGGGAGAAAATGGTTGGATTCCCCGCCCGCCGCCTCGTCCTCTTTGTGATAACTTCCCTTACTGTTCCTTCCTACTCAGATATATAGCAACTAAACTTTTAAAAATATTAAATGGATTTCACATGTAAGATAGTTCCTTTGAAGTGGTTGTACTCTGGCCTAGTTCAAAGGAATTGTGCTCTTGAACTGCTTTTCTTCTTCTTCTTTTTTTTTTAAAAAAAGCTCTTATCAGAAAGTTAACCCGGGGCTGAGAACTGTTTTATCAACAGAAGTATTTTGCATACTTTTTGCATGTATGCAAATCTACAATTCTATTCACAGAAAACACTCTATATAGTCAGAAGGAGAGAGGATACCACTAATATTGTTTTAACACATTTATGTTTGGCTTAAACCTTGTATAAGGAAATGTATATTGCAAGAGCATGGTGTTGTGGAGCGGCGGAGGAACGAGGCTGAGCCAGAGTGAACGTTAAAGGCTTTATTCTAAGAATAAAGGGTTGCTGCGTCTGCCTTCTAACTAGGCAGGTTAGCTGGCGGCAACGGGGCTGACACTGCCTGACAGCTGCCTTTTATAGACGGCTGTCAAACGGTGCCAGCCAATGGGAGCGGCTGGTGCTCCCACTCAAACAGCGGACCTGGTTGGGGACTCCAACCAGTCCCAAAGACATAACACTCCTTTCCCCTAGCCGGGAGCATGCATAGTCCTTCAAGTAGGTTGGTCGTCTGCGCTGGTGGCAGGATCGTCGTAGTCCGGGCAAGCCGCTGGCTGGAGTCAAATCCTCGCCCCCAGGCAGCGTCTCGGAGGTTGCTGATGAGCGGGCTCGGTCGGTGGGGGCACTGTGTGAATTAGGTAAGTCCCCCTGTTCGGGCTGACCTTGGTGAGTCGCTCGGTCCGGACGGTAGACAGGTTCGCTTGGTTGTTGGTTCGGGGTCCCTTGTCGGTAGACCGGGTCCTCCAGTAAACTCTCTTGGTCGACGGGGTAGATCGGGTCCTGCAGGGAGCTTTCATCTGGGCAGACCGGATCCGGCAGGGAGCCCTCGGTGCCGGGAGATTGGGCTGGGTAGACTGGTTCCTTGGTGGCTGCTGGGTAGGCATCAGCTGTGCTTCTCCATCGCCGTCTGAGTTGGTCCACGTGTCTGCGCCACAGGCGTCTGTCTTCCAGGAGGACTCTGTAGGATCTTGGACCTGTGACTGACACAACTTGACCAGGTACCCACAGAGGGTCCCCTGCATAATTTCTGGCGTACACCAGGTCATGCAGAGCAAAGTCCCTGACCAAACTGTCAGATCCTATAGGGGTGTCTGGGCAGTAGTGGGGGTGCAACCTGTCCAGGGTGGTCCTAAGGCGTCTCCCCATCAAGAGCTCTGCTGGGGATTTATTTGTAGTGGTGCATGGAGTCGTATGTTGGCTCAGGAGGTAACGGGACAGTTTGGAGTGCCAGTTTTCCTGGACAAACCTGGCAAGTGCCTCTTTGGCTGACCTGACTGCCCTCTCAGCCATCCCGTTGCTAGCTGGGTGAAAAGGGGCTGTAAGGATGTGTCTGATGCCCAAGTTGGCAACGAACATACTAAACTCACAAGACGTGAACTGGGGGCCATTGTCAGACACCAGCGTATCAGGGAGCCCATGGGTCACGAAGAAACGGGTCAGAGCCTTAACAATTGCTTGAGTGGTTGTTGAAGGTAGTAGGGCCAAGTCTATCCATTTGGAATAAGAGTCTACTACAACCAAGAAGGTCCTTCCATGTACTGGTCCAGCTAGGTCGATGTGCAGGCAAGACCAAGGACCACTAGCACTTTCCCACCTGGTAGGCGTGGCTGCTGGTGGGGCAGCCCTGGTTTCTTGGCAAGGCTGGCATGAGCTTACCCAGCTGGAGATTTGGGCATCCATGCCAGGCCACCAAATGTAGCTGCGGGCCAGAGCCTTCATCCTTATGATGCCCGGGTGGCCCTCGTGAAGTACCTTTAGGATGGGTACATGAAGAGTGGCTGGGATGACTACCCTTGTCCCCCACAACAGACATCCCTGTAGTTTCGACAATTCCTGCTTACGGATTTTGAAAGGAGCAAAGTCAGAAGTGTATTGTGTTTCAGGCCACCCCCTTCCCACCCAGTCCATAACTTGGGCAATTATTCTGTCTTTTTTTGAGTGCGCAGCAATGTCTTCGGCTGTAACCGGCAATTTAAGTTCATTTACTTCAAAGATGGCATGAACGGGTGCTGGGTCTTCGACTGGGACTGGCAGGGGGCAGCGACTAAGGGCATCAGCGTGACTCAAGTTTTTTCCAGGGCGATGCACCAATTTGAATGAGTAAGCGGCCAGGAACAAAGTCCACCTGGTCATTCTAGGTGATAGTACCTGTGGGGTTTGCTTATCCCCTGATAAAAGTCCCAGGAGTGGTTTATGGTCAGTTATAAGTTCAAAATGGTGCCCAAACAAAAATTCATGAAACTTTTTTACTGCAGCTACTGCAGCCAAGGCCTCCTTAACTATTTGGCTGTAGTTTCTTTCTGCAGTAGAGAAGGTCCTAGAGAAGAAGGCAATTGGTGCCTCAGAACCGTTGGGAAGCCTGTGGCTCAGAATAGCCCCAATCCCAAAGGGGGATGCATCAGCAGCTAGGACCAGGGGGAGTCATTGATTATATTGGATTAAAACTGCATCAGATGTGAGTAAGGATTTGACTGACTTGAAAGCATGGGCTTCTTTGGGTCCCCAATGCCAGGGGGATTCTTTGTCTAACAGTCTGTGTAAGGGTTCAGCAATAGATGCTTTGTGCGGAAGAAATGAAGCGTAAAAGTTTAGTAGCCCCAGAAAGGCTTGGAGCTCCATCTTGTTAGTTGGAGTGGGTGCCTCATGGATAGCCTTTACTTTGGATTCGGCTGGGTGAATGCCAGAGGCATCAATCCTATACCCCAGAAAGTCCACTTGCCTAGTGGCGATGGCGCACTTCTCCCTTTTAAGTTTGAGGCCATGCTGCCTAAACTTCTCTAGGACTGCTCTGACCCTTTGTATGAGCTGAGGTCTGTCAATTGCTGAGACTAAAATGTCATCGAAGTAAGGGACAACCCCTGGGAGACCTTGGAGAATCCTTTCCATGAGGGATTGGAATATACCTGGGGCTACACTTACACCGAATTGGAGGCGTTTGCACTTGAATGCCCCTCTATGTGTGACTATGGTTTGTAATTCAGCTGTCTGATCATCAACAGGGAACTGTTGGTATGCCTGGGACATATCTAATTTGGCAAAGATGGTGCCGGGTTCGAAGGTGTGTAACAGGTGTTGAATAACAGGTACAGGGTAGGCGCTGACCTGCAGATAATGATTGAGGGTGGTTTTATAGTCTGCGCAGATTCTTATTCTGCCATCTTTCTTGAGTGGGGTGACTATGGGGGTCTCCCATTTGGCAAAGTCAGTTGGCTCTAACACCCCTTGCTTCAGTAACTTATCTAATTCTAAATCTAACTTAGGACGGATGGCAAAGGGCACTCTGCGTGGCTTAAGGCGAAGGGGAATTGCCTGGGGGTCCACAGTGAAGGAGATGGGGGTGCCAGAATAGCAGCCCAGCTCGCTGCTAAAAACATCAGAGTAGTCTGAGAATAGGGCGTCTACGTCAGAGGTTGAGACAGCATGGATCCCCGTTACACTAAGGCCGAGAGAAGGGAACCAATCTAGTCCCAACAGACTGGGGAGGGCACCATAAACAACCACCAAAGGCAAATGACCTTTAAAACCTTGGAACTGAACTAAAAACTTGCCTTTCCCGAGGACAGGGATGTTCTTGCCTTGGTAGTCCCGCAGTGTCAGGTGGCATTTCTGCAGCTTCTTCTTTGAGAATCTGGGATGAATCTTCTTCAGGGTTTCCCAGGAGATGATTGAAAGTGCAGATCCCGTGTCTACCTCCATTCTGCAAGGCTTTCCTTCTAAAGAAACAAAAATACTGATTTTATTAGGCGTCTTGGAAGTATGGTTCGCGTGGTAGCAAGTATAGCAGTCCTCCACCTGCCTTTGGAAATTAGCAGGTGGTGGAGGTCTCTGAGGAAGGGTTCGCCTTGCTTGGCAGATCCTGGCTAGGTGGCCTTTCTTCTGACAATTTAGACAGATGGCATTCCTAAACCTGCAGGATGCCCTAGAGTGGGAACCCCCGCAGGCTAGGCAAATGGGAGGTTGCTTGGGGGTGAAGTTGTTTCTCTGCCCAGCTACTTCCTGTGAGGGCTTTTGTTGC